ACGAGAGTCATGCCAGACCGACTGGCTGGCAGGGCGCTTGTACCGTGTTGATGGTAGTAGAGTGGAGAGCCATCGGGGCTTCCAAGGGGTTTTATAGTCATGCAGTCAGAGTTCCCTGAGTGAATGGCTTACATTTCCATTCCTGCTGCCAGCTGGCCAAGTGGGGACCACCTAAGTTGTAGCCCCAAAGGAAATGAGAAGGCAGGTTCTCTTCTCCCACGATTCCCCCACTGCTGTCTTTCCACTGCCTGAAACCCCGTTGCAAAAGTCACTGCACTTCTTAAAATCCGTTCCCAGTTAAAATTTTAAGTACTACTAAGTGGGATCGTATTTCGAACTTTCATTGCGCTTTTCTGGTTAGTGTCTGCCTGTGAACCTGTTTCAAAGCCAGCCTCTGAGTGGGCGAAGGGAAAGGTAGCCTCGGTGTACGGTTCTCCCTCCCTGCATTCCTGCCTCAATCTCCATCCCTCTTTCTAGCCATCCATTTCCCATGTGACTTTGCAGCATGTACATCAAGAGGGAGGGGCGCGCTGGTTCTGCTTTACCAGGGGGCATGCACCAAGACCTCAGCGGATGCCTTAAACCTCAGATAACACTTGAAACCTACACCCGTATTTTCTCCTGTGCATGCACACCTGTGAGAAAGTTTAGTTTGTTAATTAGGCACAAGAAGAGATCAACAGCAATAGCGAATAACAAAACAGGATAACTGTAACAACGTACTGTAATTAAGTAGTACACTATGGTGGTCTTTCAAAATGTGTTACTGTATTCAATCTCAGTAGCCTCAGGGGAGGATGTTTTTCTTTCCTTATGAAACAAGAACTTCCACTGTTTTACTTAAAGGAAGGACTGCTTGGCTTCTGCTTTTAATACTCAACTTTCCAGCTTCACTACTCCTTGGCTTTTTAATGAATGGAACAAGGGTGACTTGAACACAGCAACACCATACCGTGACAGTTAATCTAATAACCAAAATAGCTACTAGGTGACTAACGGGAGAGTAGCTTATAGCATGAATACACTGGATAAAGGAATGGTTGATATTGTGTGGTTGTGTGTGTGTGTGTGTGTGTGTGTGTGTGTGTGTGTGTGTGTGTTATGTGTACAGGTCATAAGACAACTTGTCGGAGTCAGTTCTTTCTTTCCATGATGTGGATTCCAGGTGAGGATCAAACCTCGGGTTATCAAGCTTGGTGGCTAATGCCTTTACCATCCGGGCCATCTCACTGGTCCCAGAATAAGATGAACCTGGTATAGCTGAACCTGACAAAGTAAAACCTTGGCTAGGAAGGGATTGCTGTACTTTTGCCAGCTGCTCTGTCTTGACCTTGGCTTTATGACGTCCCTTGAACAATGAGAGAGATGAAAAGCGTGCAGGCAGAGCCTTTAGAGGTGCCCAGGTGCCCAGGTTTGATGGTTCTTTCACCCTCGCAATTGCCATGAGAACATCAGTACACACTGCAGGAGCCTGGAAGACATGGATTCACGGCAAAGAGCACCAGCCACTCTGGCCGGGGCTAGCCTAGCACAATGCAGAAAATGTGAGTGAAAATCAAGTTGAATACCTCAGGCTTCTGAGCTACAAAAGCACACGGAGGTTTTGAAGTAGTTGGTCAGACAGCATCGTGTTGTGAGAAAACACACTGGAGGAGGGTTGAGAGAGCTGAAAACGATCAAGAAAAGGTTTTTCTTGGAATTCAGGCTGCCTGAAAAGTAGCAGAGTATAACGAAAAGCAATGTCTGAGGGGAGACACATTTGTCGTTCCCCAAACAGAGATATGTGGCGTGTGTGTCTTTATATGTGTCCACTTCTGAAGGAAGTGGGAGAGGGCAGGGAGAGAACAGAATTCATGTCGTGGTTGCTGTATACAAGTCACCTTTGTGTTTTCAGGTGATCCTCAATGGAGAGTCCTGCATGTAGGAACTGCTAGCATTTGGAAATAAAATGTCTCCCAAAAGCTCATGAGTTGTAGCATCATTGGGATTGCTGGACCTGAAGGAGGCAGGATCTTTGGGAGGAAGTTAGGCCATTGGGCGTATGCCCCCGGAAGAGGCTACTGGGACTCACCCTTTCCCTGCCCTATGCTTCCTGGCCAGCACAAGGCAAGCCGTTTTTCTCTCTGCACCCCTCCCATGATGTTGTGCCTCACCACAGACCCCAAAACAGTGGATAAAGCAGACCATGGGCTTCAATTTCCAAAACTGTGAGCTAAAATGAACCTTTCCTTTTTAAAATTGATTTTTTCTCAGGCATTTTGCCACAATGAGGAAAAACTATGTTTTGGGGTTTGTTTTTTTTAAATTTTCCAGATGGGAAAATTAGACCCAGATCAATTAAGGAACTTAGTCAGGCCAATCCTAGTCTGGCAGACATCTCCCACTAAGCAGTAGATGGGAAATGTTCTAGGCTGGGAAGACCGGCAGCAGCCACACAACAAAACTCTGTAGCAAAAACTCTGATGCAAAAGTAGCCATCAACAAAACAGAAATCCACAGGGGAGCACTGACAAGGAACTGGACATCATTTTTGCAAATCACAAAATACTCTTTTCTCCTAACCATTAAAAAAAAAAAAAAAAGTAAAAGGAAGTGTTGCTAGAGTTTTCCGCCTTGCCCACAGGGACAAATCTTTGTCACCCGCCAGTCCCACAGCCGCTCAGACCCAACCAAGTAAACACAGAGACTTATATTGCTTACAAACTGTATGGCCGTGGCAGGCTTCTTGCTAACTGTGCTTATAGCTTAAATTAGTCCATTTCCATAAATCTATACCTTGCCACGTGGCTGGTGGCTTACCGGCATCTTCACATGCTGCTGGTCATGGCGGCGGCTGCAGTCAGTCCTTCTGCCTTCCTGTCTTTTTATTTCTCCTCTCTGTTAGTCCCGCCTATCCTTCCTGCCTAGCCACAGCCGATCAGGTTTTATTTATTGATCAATCAGAACAACTTGACATACAGACCATCCCCCAGCACAGCCAAGTGCAGACCATCTAAGACACCTGTACTCAAGCCCATGGTCCTAATCATCCTCTATGCGGACCTGCTGGGTAACGCCAGAAAGAACCCAAGAAGGGCTCCCACAGGACATACAGAACATCCCACAGCAAGGAAGAAACACTCTTAGTTCACAGGCTATAAAAAAAAATGAGTGGTGGGTGTGAGACCAGAATACCTGATGCCAATGTCAACTCTCAGATTCTAGTCAGTCAACTTTGATGTAAACCAAACTAAACAAAGAGTATTCCTGAGGTTTGAGGAATCTTCGTTACTGTCTCTCAATACTCTCCTACAGAAGATATCAAGAGTCTCTTAGACGCCCACAGTGAAACTGCATGTTCTGGGCCTCACAGGGCTATTGCACATGTGAGCTAGTGCCCCTGTAACTGAATGCATAAGACCTGTGCAAAATCAAACAAGCTAAAAGTCCCAGCATGGAAAAGTAAGGGCTCATGAAATCCCACTGCTCCCTGAGGAGAGAGTCTGAAAGGCATAGATTCAAAGCAAAAAGCACCAGCCACTGTGGCTGAGGCTATCCCGGCACAGCCAGAAGCCAGCCAAATCCAGAAACGTGAATGAGCCCACCACATCAGTTGAATACCTCAGGCTTGTAAGTACGCAAAGGTTTGAAGTAGTCGGTCATACAGCATCACTGTGTGAGACTAAAAAATCAGGAAACTGTCCAACTTTTCTTGGAATGGTTCTCCCCCCCCACCATGTGCGTGCATGTCTGCGTGCCCCTGTGTATGTGTGTGCATTTGTGTGTGTGTGTGTGTGTGTGTGCATGTGTGTGTGTGTGTCTGTGTGTGTGTGTGTGTGTGTGTGTGTGTCTGTGTTGAAGGTAAAGCTTCATGAAGTCACAATGTATCACAAAAGGTGATGTATCAGGAAAGCAAATAGGTACTAGTATTGCCTTCATAATCCAGATAAGGAAACTGGGCTTTCAAATGCATAAGGTGCTTGCTCAATAAGGAAAGGCAAAATCCAGGGATTTGTGTATCTGGCTCCAGACCCAGAGCAGCAACAGCCACGACCATCCTCTTTCCTCATGGGGAAATACAGTCCCTTGGGCCCCGTTGGCTAGCAAAGCCCTTGCCTGCCACCAATCTTTCTGCATCGTGCTCTGCCTCAGGCTGTCCAGCAGAACTAAACAGGAAAACAAATAGTCATGACAAGATAAAAGGACCAGCATGGGCTGTTTCCAATCATGGATGGAAATAAAACATTAGAAGGCTGCTTTGCTGTGGCCTTTGTGCTGTGTTTATAAAGTCCTGGGATTGGTGGGGTCTAATGTCATTCCATAATAATTTGATTTCCATGAGAGAAACTAATCCAATCCAATTGCTCCACGTGTTGTCATGTCCCGGAGCTGGAATGTCATCCAGGTGCCTTCCCTGACCCTGGATAATGGACCCAGTCTTTTCTGTAGGAAGGGAGCTTTGGTTCCTCCCACTTGGATTGCCCACAGAGTTCTGCATATTGGAAAAGCCGCGTCTTCGGGCATCCCACCATGTGCAGTCCTGTGCACCAAGACCAGAACTTGCGCGTGACTGTCTCCTCAACCACTGCTTCCTTTGCCAAAGCAGAGACCACACATCTTACCACTTGTCTGCCAGGCTGTCTCATGTAGAGCAGGGTATGCACACATGTTGGACAGTCAGATTGGGAATCCAGGCCTCTATGTCTCCAGTTCCTTTTGCCAGCCTTGTGCGTTAGGACAAGATGGGTCCATAAGCTGAGTCTCTGTCTCCATTTCTGTAAAATGAATGGTTATAACTCTATCCGTTAAAATATTGAGAAAAATCTCAAAGGCCCTTGCGTGAGGAAGCAAACATGATAACAAACCCGCAAAGGGTCAGTAGCTCAAACTGGAGCAACAGTCATCACCAGCCAAGGGGGTGAGTCACATGGCTTTGCTGTCAAGTCACAAAGCCTCTTAGGTGTGTGACATCAGGCGATCTCTGGAAAGGCAGACTCGCAGCCAGGAAATGTCCCAGTTACTGCCACCTTAGCAGTCCCGACTCTTGGTGTCCTCTCCAGTCTCCAAATGACTTCAGTGTGACTGTACACACGGAGCTGCAGACTTCAAGCACTGCCTTTGCAGCTAGAGTCTGCAGACCTTGGACTCCTCTGAAGCTACTGAGAACAGACGCCAAGGGATCTAACGTGTAATGTGCAGACACGATACTGAAAGATGGTGCATCCATGGTGTTGTCTTTCCAGAGCGCCCTGCCAGTCGCAAAACAGTTACCTCAGGGAATGAAGTAACACCGAAGTTAAAATCTTCATTTTCCTTCCCCTTTAGGCCTTCTTCTCCCTTCAGGTCAGTCACCTATGTGGTACAGATCACATGCACCTCAGTGCTAGACATCCGTTAAGAAACTTTACAGTTTCCGTGGTCCATGAAGCATCTTTGGCCTACTGAGGGAACTAAAAGGTATTTTCCAACTATTCCATGGGGTATTGAGATGAGATGGGGAACAGATCCAGGTCATGACAGACTGCTCCCCTGGAAGTAATCCTGATGGTCATGGGACATCAGAGGGTACAATGCACTAGACTGAGATAGACTTGTTTGACCCAGAAGAGTAATTTAGGCAAGGATGTGAATGATGGTTTTGAGAGGAATGATAAAGTGAGAAAGACCATGAAAAGACACCCAAACAACCCAACAGAGGGAGGGTGGCTGTTAAACCAAGATGGCTTGGTAAGATTAGAAAAGGAGGAAGCAGAGTTAACAGCTATGGGGGCGGGGGAAACAAGATGAGATGTTAAGAGAAAATGCTGAGATTTCTGCATCACCATGGAGATGGGGATGGCAGACATGTGCGGAAAGGAGGAAATGAATGAGAAGCACTTTGTGAAGATGTAGTGGGCTTAGTTTTTGACAAGTTAGGTTTGAAGTGCTTTGAAGACATCCGAATGAAAGATGCCCAAAAAGCTTTTGAGGGAATGCCTGCCAACCCCAGAAGGGAGTGACAGCTATAACATGGGTACAGATGCAGTGATATTGAATTGACTCATTCAGGAAGGTTGCATATCTTTCTCTCTCTCCTATCTCTCCTCATGTTACCCTCTCTTCTCTGTCTCCACATTACAGTGGTGGGGATACAATCCACGGCCTGCCATATGCTAGGGAAGTGCTCCACCACTGAGTTCTACCCACAGCCCACCCAGGAAGATTGCATGGGCCACGGCCACAGATGAAATCCGCACAAATCTCAGTACGTGTGTATGCAGGCACAGAAGACGAAAACCAGCCTGATGAGCTTCAGTGTGTGTGGAAGAGTTCTCAGGAGTAGGGACATCCCGGAAAAGTCACACATCACAGAGGCAAGGCATCAAAAAGTAAGACTGAGAAAAATTTGTTGAAATTTGCTCCCCAGAATGTAACTAAAACTTGGTATCCATATCACCATTCCTTTGTTATGTAAGGGAGATTAGTTCTAGAACATTCTGGAGACATCACCACCCGTGAATGCTAAGCCCCTGAGACCAAATTTGTTTATCAATGATACATAACTCCATGGGCACTTCAAATAATGTCTAGAAAGACTTTTTAAGAGTTGAAGGCAAAGTTCTCTATATCTGTTTCAGAGAAACAAATGTATTAAAAAATAATACCTTCCTTTTTCTAGGCAACTTACAGGCCAATTCAATATTGTAGAGAGTCCATTTTTGTATGTGTGTGCTTCCAAGTTAAAGGGGGGTTAAAACTGATATAGTGCATGTCAAACAAATGTCAGTCATGTCTCTGATGGAGACTCGGTTCTAAAGGACTGCTAATGTTTGTTGACATCTTCATGTCAATCTCGATTTTCTGTTCAGAGAGAAAAGCAATGAACTTGACTTTGTAATCCATTGCCTGGTCCCTCAGGCCAGCCCAGTTCCTACCGCTTGACTAAATCACCAAGAATCTGCCATAGGCCTGGAATTTGAGAATGGGAAAGCCAAAAGAGAAAAGAAAAAAAATAAGCAGTGATTATTTCATGTGTTTCTATACATCATGGAAAAGGTGATAGGGCCTTCCTTTGGGTCATGTGTCAAGTGGGGTTGGGACACACCAGCATTTGCCTATATTTTATTATAACAAAATATCAAAAGTTGTGTGACTTTGTACAGAGCAGGAGTTCATTTAACTCATAATTGGCAAGGTTCAAGAGCACGGAGCAGTCATCTTGATGAAGGTTTTGTGACTGACGGCATCACCATGCTGGGAGCCTGTTGGAGGAAGAGAGCACCTTGCCTGACAGAAGTCAAAAGTGCTGGGTGAGGCCACACTTGTTCTTCCTCCACAACACAGTTGCAAGCACCAGGAATCTCACAAGAACTACCCCAATCTCTTCCACAGTGCCCCATGATGTCCCACCAGGCCTCCCATCTCAAGGGCTCCATCATGTTGACACCACCGCACTGAAGACTAGCTTTACAAGGTGGACAAACCATATCAACCATCTGGTTGTTCTGTATGGTCTGAAGGAAGCCCACTGAATGCTAATATGTCATGGTGAAGAGTTTTGTTTACTGAGCATGCCAGACAGTTTCCCAGAGCTGTGATAAAATGCCTGAGATAATCAATCTAAAGAGAAAGGGTTTTTTTTTGGCTCATGGATTTGGTGGTTTTGTATGTGGTCATAGTACATCATGGCAGCGGCAGCGTGTGGCAGAGGGAAATACCCAGGAAGCAAATAATTAGAGAAGAAGAGGCTGAGCTCCCAATAGTCTTTAACAGGCATGCTCTTAAAGGTTCAATTTCCTTCCACTAGACTCCAGCTCTTCGAGGTTCTATCACTTTCTGATAGTGTCACAGGCTTGAGATCAAGCCTTTAATGGATGGGCTATTGGGATATATCTAAGATGCCAACCACACTAACAAGTGAAAATGAAACCTATCTCCATTCAGAAAGGGGCAGGCCTCCCATGGGCTTGAGCAAAGCATGGCACATCAAGTTGAGGCAGGACTGACTGACTTCCTCTCCTTGTGTCAAGGCTGGGCCAGCACGGAGAACAGGTTCCCAAAAGCCAGCTAAGCACCAGGGACAGGTCCTGATCTCACTGCTAGGAGCCTTACAAAGAGACCAAACTATACAACTGTCACACACTTGCAGAGGGCCTAGGTCAGTCCCATGGAGACTCCCTAACTGTTGGTCCAGAGTCCATGAGCTCTCACGAACTCAGATCAGCTGTCTCTGTGGGTTCCCCTATTACCCCCCCTGGCAAGTACAATTCCACCTCCCTTTCTTCAGCAAGACTACTGGAGCTCAGCCCAGTGCTTGGCTGTGGATCTCTGCATCTGCTTCCGTCAGTTATTGGATAGAGTACCTCTGATGACAATTAGGGTAGTCACCAATCTGATTACAGGAGATGACCAGTTCAGGCACAGTCTCCACTATTGCTAGAAGTCTTCGCTGGGGTTATCCTTGTGGATTCCTGAGAGTTTCCCTGACACCAGGCTTCTCCCTAATCCTGAAATGCTCTCCCCTATCAAAGTGTCTCTTTCATGACTCTCCCCGTCCATGCCCTACCCCCAATCTGCCTCCCACACCCAGCCCCCCCAACCCACTCCCTCAAGTTCCCATCCCTCCATTCCCCCCATCCTCCACCCCCAGTTTACCCAGGAGATCTCTTCTATTTCCCCTTCCCAGAGAAATCCATGCATCTCTCTTCAGGCCCTCCTTGTTATCTAGCTGCTCTGGGGCTGTGGATTGTAGGTTGGTTATCCTATACTCTACTCCTAATGTCTATTTATGAATGAGTACATAACATGTTTATCTTTCTAGGTTTGGGTTACCTCACTCAGAATGAATTTTTCTAGTTCCATCTGTTTTTCTGCAAATTTCAAGAGGTCATTGGTTTTTTTTGTTTTGTTTTTTTTTCTTTTTAGTTGAGTAATACTCCATTGTGCAAATGTACCACATTTTCTTTATTTACTCTTCATTGCGGGACATCTAGGTTGTTTCCAGATTCTGACTATTGTGACTAATACTGCTGTGAACATAGTTCAGTGGAAGGGGAGGGAGTGGATGGAAGCAAGGATGGAGGGTGGGGCAGGGACCGAAGGAGAGGAAGAAGGGCAAACTGTGGTTGGCATATAAAATAAATGAAAACATTTTATTTAAAGTTTTTTGGATTTTTCGAGACAGGGTTTCTCTGTGTTGTTTTGGTGCCTGTCCTGGATCTCACTCTGTAGACTAAGCTGGCCTCGAACTCACAGAGATCTGCCTGCCTCTGCCTCCCAAGTGCTGGGATTAAAGGTATAGGCCATCACCGCCTGTCTAAATTTTTTTTTTTTTTTTTAAGAAAGAAAATTAGACCTGTGTCCTTTCTCTTCAAACAGCCCATGAAGAATGGAAAGAATTGGCTAAAGTGCTGGTCTGCACTCAGCCAGCAGATGAAGGACTATCAGCGGCCACTTAAAATATCATGGAGACTTGAAGTCCACAGGTTGAATCGGTCGGGTTCAATTTTCTGTTGCACAATTTTCACTGGCTACTAGAGCCTTTACTAAAGCCTAAATTACATCCCTAAAAACGTTATTTTGTGTTGTTCCCAAGAGAAACTTGGGCTGGTACTTGGGGAAGCGGGGCAAGGAAATCATTCCCAGTCCACTTGGAGCTAGCTGAAAGAGCATTCATTTATTTCTGATCCCACCTGGAGACGTGGGTTCATCTCATCGACAGGCCACCCCTCCATACACTGCATGATTAACTGAGACTCACAAGTGGCTTCTTAGGTCACAATTGTTAGAGGACCCAATTTGTACCTAGAATCAAAATCTGAAGATTTTCCTTACGTTTCTTTCTGTAACTTTCATAGAACAGATGGAGACAAAAATAATTTTGTTAACTTTTAGTCTTGGAATTTAGGCCTAGAATTTATAATAACCAAAATAGCTTTTAGGGGTTCCATTCCCAGGAGTCTAGATGTTTCCTACCTTGGGGTTACATGCTGTCCCTACTTTGGGTGACTGTACCTCCATGAACTGAGCTAAGGGTCCCTGGAGTCTAACTAATAGGAACTAGTCTACTATTCCTACTAGTCTAACTAACTTCCTACTAGTCTAACTAACTAGTAGGAAGATTTATCCGCAGTACATTTCAAAGTTAGGGGGCCAACTCCTCACATCTCTATCTTCCTTAGACTGAGCCCATTAAATCAGCTCTCAAGCACACTGTGCTTAGAGGATTCGTTTTATCTTTGAACGATACACATCTAACTTGGTAATTTCTAACAAAATATCTTCCCTTTTATGTTGGAACTTGCCATTTGACTTCCTTATGACTTGAAAAGTTTGAGCATCATAAATAATTGTGGTTCCTAAGAGCCCGAATGACTATAAAAGCCTTAAAAAGAAAACTTTGAAGTTGGGGACACGCAGACTGTATGCAGTACCAGGCAGACTTTGTCAGAACTAGGCTCAGCGAAGGGACCAAACTGCAGGATTTCAAAAGTTCAAGAGAATGACAGAAGTGTTTTTTTTTTTTTTTCTCTTGCCTCCATGCAGGCAATTTTTTTCAGATAAGGTTGTGCTCTTAATTTGGAGTTGCAAAGATTCTGAGGGCAAGAGGCAGTCTGAATGACATACCCACAGCCCCCTGGAGTGGGTCGCCTTCCCTTCCTTCCTTCCCACAGCCACCAGCTCTGTCCCAGACTGCAGGCTTCCTAGAGGATGTAAACGTTAGAATGACATTTTCTTTATTAAAATGTAAACATTTTAAGTAGTTGATTGACAGGTAGTAGCTGTTCATATCTCTGGGGTACAATGTGATGTTTTGCTTCAAGTAAACAATGTCTACAGATTAAAGTAAGTTAATTAGCATAGTTACAACCTTCAACTTTTACCAGCTCTTTGTGGTTCTTTCTTCTAGCTTCTGAATGTTCACCATATTCACCCTATTGTGCCTTCGATCACCAGCATGGATTCCTCTGATGCTCACTCTATCTTCCTGAGGGACCCAGCAGGGCCTGGATGCTCACGGGAGGCTCTGTGCTTAGGAGCAGAGATTTCTGGAACGAACCAGTCTTATCTCCAGGACTTGCGAGTCCAGGCAGAGTTCATATGACACTCCTGGGGAGCTGCCAGAAGCCGTGGCCCTGTAAGAGTGATTTGGGTCCACAACCCTCCAGCCTCGGGTAACACAGAGCAAACACTAAGGACAAAGCTGATGACTGGAAGGCAAAAAGAGAGAAAGTAGACAAGTGAGCAAGCTGAGACCCACGACCACAAAGGACTCCGTGAGGCTTTGGAGCGGCTCTGCCTCCTTTTCCATCAAATTTGGATTAGCTGTGGCGGAGGAGGGAAGAGAACAAATAAAGGAAACCCACAGATAATCCGCGGCCTCCATCTAAGGGAAGGTTTAAATTCCCTCTCGGCCAAGCTTCTTTCTTTCTGTGAGAGCTGACAATGAGGGGCTCTCACACCAGGCACTCTAGGCCCAGCCCTCAGCAGAGGGCTCACCCATCCCTGTCTCTCACTGGCAGGCTGGGGGGCAGGGCATGCAGAGCCTGAGTCTGGAGAACAGGGTGCTGGTCTAGGGGGTAGGTGCTGAAGGCTGATCAATTTGGGGTGGGCTAGAAGACTCCAGCACAGGCTGGAGGAAGTCGGTCTGTGGGCAGCCTTGGAGAAGTGTAGGGTTGTCTGTGATGAACATAGGCCATAAGCCACTGGGCACAGAATGAGTGAGAGGCCAAAGACAGGGGTACACTGAGAAAAGGGCTGAGGAGCAGGAGAGAGACAAGGGAGCAGCCAGGCAGGGGCCTCTCTCTCTCTCTCTCTCTCTCTCTCTCTCTCTCTCTCTCTCTCTCTCTCTCTCTCCTCCCTTTCTTTTCTTTCCACCTTTTCTGTTTTATTTCTCCCTCTGTGTTCTGCATTTTCCTCTCTTCCCCCCAACCTATCCCCATCCTTCCCCTTACCCCTTCCTTGACATTCACTATATTAGTTTGAAATTATAGAACTTGGATCCACAAGGCCAGCCCCTAACTGGAGGTACCATCACTCAGCATCAGTGACCCACATCCACAGCACTTAGTGCAGCGGTGAGATGCCCAGTGGCTGTCCTCCTGTGGCCAGCCAGGCACCCAGGGCCAGAGATGAGGCCCTCTTCCCTGGGGGAGCCCGAGTGAGAGGATGACTTTTACTCAGGACTCATCGGAACTTTTCCTGGAGACACTTTCCCAGAAGTAGAAACATCTGCCCAGAGTGAAGATCCGGGTTCTCACTTCCTGTTGTCACTAAGGAATCTGGACTCTTTTGCCTCATCAGTAAAGGGGAAACAAACTTGTCCACTCAAACTTCAGCTTGCAGGCCTGATGTAAGCTATGGAATCTTAGCTTTTCCACCTAAATGAACCCAGAGACCTTCCCTTCCATTCCCCCTCCTCTCCCTTTCTCCTTATTTCCTCCTTCTCTTAGCCATTTTCGTTGTTAAAATATTTTGTTGTTAAAATAAACTGTGATAAAATATTTGAAAGAAACAATTCCAGATGAGGATGTTTTATTTTGCCTCAGGTCTTCAGGGCTTTTTTTCCCCCTCATTTTTTTTATTAAGAACTTTTTTATTCATTTTACATAACAACCACAGAACCCCCTCCTCTCCCCTCCTCCCTCCCTCCCTCCAGACTTCCCTCCCCACCCACCCCCTATTCCCTCCTCAGATAAGGTAAGGCCTCCCATGGGGATTCAGCAAAGCCCAGGACATTCAATTGAGGCAGGTCCAAGCCCCTCCCCCTGCATCAAGGCTGTGCAAGGTGTCCCACCATAGGTAATGGGCTCCAAAAAGCCTGCTCATGCACCAGCTATGAATCCTGTTCCTACTGCCAGTGGGTTCCTTAAGCAGATCAAGCTACACAACTGTCTTGCTTATGCAGAAGGCCTAGTCCAGTCCTATGGAGTCTCCACAGCTATTGGTCCATAGTTCATGAGTTCCTACTAGTTTGGTTTGGTTGGTTGTCTCTGTAGGTTTCCCCATCATGATCTTGATGCCCCTTGCTCATAGAATCCCTCTTCGCTCTCTTTGACTGGACTCCTGGAGCTCGGCCTGGTGCTTGGCTGGGGATCTCTGCATCTGCTTCCATCAGTTCCTGGATGAAGGCTCTATGATGACAGGGTATTCATGGATCTGATTACTGGGGTAGGCCATATCAGGCATCCTCTCCACTATTGCTGGGGTCATCCTTGTGGATTCCTGGGAAATTCTCTAGCACCCAGTTTCTCCCTATCCCCATGATGTCTCCCTCTGTCATGGTCTCTCTTTCATTGCTCTCCCACTCCATCCCTGTTCCAGCTAGACCATCCCATTCCCTTATGTTCTTATCCCCCATTCCCTATCCTTTATTGACCCCCACCACCCCAGAATTGCTCAGCATTCTTAGTCATCAGGGAAATGCAAATCAAAATAACTGAGATACTATCTTATACCTGTCAGAATGGCTAAGATCAAAAACACTGATGACAGCTTATGTTGGAGAGGATTTGGAGCAAGGGGGAACATTCCTTCACTGCTGGTGGGAGTGTAAACTTGTACAGCCACTTTGGAAATCAGTTTGGCAGTTCCTCAGAAAATTGAGAATCGGTTTTCCTCAAGACCCAGCTATACCACTCTTGGGCATATACCCAAGAAATGCTCAATCACACCACAAGGACATTTGCTCAACTATGTTCTTAGCAGCATTATTCATAATAGCCAGAACCTGTAAACAACCTAGATGCCCCTCAACCAAAGAATGGATAAAGAAAATGTGGTACATATACACAATGGAGTACTACTCAGCAGTAAAAATCAGTGACATCATGAAATTTGCAGGCAAATGGACGGAACTAGAAAATACCATCCTGAGTGAGGTAACCCAGATTCACGGTATGTACTTACTCATAAGTGGATACAATGCTTATACATACAATATGACAGATGTAAAGCAAAGGACAACCAGACTTCAGGGCTTTTTTGTAGTCACTGACTGTAGGTGGTGCTCCCCTGCTGTGTGCCTGAGGTAGGTTGAAGCATCACTGTGGGAGAACCCAATCTGGGAAGAGAATATTCATCCTCACCTCACAACAACAGAGAAGCAGAGAGAACAGGAGAGCCAAGAGAGGAGGGTCCAGGAGCAAGACATCTCCTTTACATCCTGTAACCTGTTTCTTCCAACAGTCCTTGGCTCTGAACGTCCATTTCACATGAATTCATCAATAAGCTCATCCATGTTGTCAATCAACTTCTTAGTTAGTGCCACCTGCCAGGGACCAAGCCTTAAACAGTGAGCTTTTGGGAGGGACATTCACTTTCCCCTCCCTTCCCCTCCCCTCCCCTGCCCTCCCTACCTACCTCTCCTCTCCTCTCCTCTCCTCTCCTCTCCTCTCCTCTTCCTCCTCTTTCAACTTCTCCCCTCTCCTCTTTTTTCTTCCACCCCTCCCTTTTTTTCTTCTCTTTTTAAAAAAAATCCTTCTGGCTATAGAAAAAAAAAAAAAAAAGGCTCCCAGCATTCTCCTCATCGACATTCTAATGCATTTCAGCTATTTCCATTTGTTAATGATTTTTGAATGCCCTCTAGGAAAAAAAGGAACTTTCAAAAGAAGGTCAAGTGATAGAAGTACAAGGAAGGCGGAGGCAGGGCAGACATGCCGTAGCTACCCGTAGGCAAGGTGTTTATGAAGGAGTAGAATCTTCCTCAACACAGTTAGGAGACTAGGATAGGCAGGCTCCACCGAACTAACGCTCAAACTCATTTGGTCTAGAGGGAAGCCTGGGCAGAGGCTTGGAGGCTCAACAGGCTGGTCTCTGCTTGGTGCCTGAGATGCTTAGTGTGAGAGCAGCTCCAGAGGGCTTCTTGTGGGGGTGGGGGGAGGAGGGTGTGGTGGTGGGGAGTGAGTTCAGGCTTTGAAGTGCATACTGATTCTGTTATTCCTCTGCAAGGCACTTCTTTGGCCTAGCAGTGAGTGACTAAGCCCTTACAGTGTGCTTCTTCAAAGGCACGGCTTATCCCACTGTGCCATCCTAACTCAGAGAACCCTTTAACTACCCCACCCTCCTCCCCGTAAGCCCCACCTCTGCCCACAAATCCAAGAGCCTTTAACTGGTGACCCTCAGAGAGGCCCATAGGAGAAGGGCAGCAACAGAGCGCCACTTGCCACCAGGAACTTTCCAATGTCTCGATGTCTCTCAATGCAAAGGGCCTCTGTGGCCACAGGTCCTGCTCCCTCACATTTAATTAAATGATAAGATAAATATGTGAAGCATAAAGACGCCTCTGATGGACATGTGCAGGGTCTGCTGTAGTCATTACCTATAGTTAATGTAGTATAATAACTATTTACACAGTACTTGCGTTGTAGTAGGTTTAGAAATCATCACGAGATGATTGACATACAGGTAGATGCACATAGGTTCCCGATGACATCATCTTAGATAAGGGGCAGATCATCCCCAGACTTTATGTCTTTAGAGGTCCTGGAAGCCATTGCCATTTGGTACCAAGGGACACATCACTTGCCTTGAAAATTTCTCTTCCGGACACTGACTACCGCCTTCTTGTTACTCTGTTCTGGAACTATGGGCTTGGGAAATTCATACAAAGCCTCTAAGGTCTAGAAGCACAGAGCTGTCAGATTGAGTAGAGCATGAAAAATGCTCCTAACAGACTGCCAGCACTGGGGCTTCCTGTTTGGGTCCTGCTATCCCAGAGAGAGGCATCACAGGAAACACTTCTAGGTATCAAGGAAAGCAGACGGTTACTGGTATGAGCCAAACAGTATGCCTCCTTACTCACCCTTCTTCTTCCTCTTCCTCTCTGGGAATTCCTTCCCTCTCCATGTTTTAAGACATTAGATGGTGCACATCCATGGAACTAAAATGAAGCTTTTGCTATTTCGATCACTCCGTTCTCTTGAAGAAACTTGATGATGACCACAGCTCTGAGAACTTTGCTTGTGTTTTACTATTTGTCTTTGTCTCCAGGAGACTGTGTAGGCAAACTCACGGAAAATAGCTGAGGAGAATGGGAGCCACTAAGTGTCGCAGAGAGAGAAAGGCTCTTGGTTTTTAAATAACTCTTTTGATCTTGGAAGTATTTGCAAGGCCTTGCCATTTTGATGTTCCTTGAAGGACTTTTTATAAAACATGAAACTCCCCCGCCCCCCATTAGACATGTGAAATCCAACCATTTTTTTTTAGATTGCAGAAGAAATATTCTTTTGCAAACCATCTGTTATTTAGTAATGTGCAAATTGCAATAAATAATTCCAGATTCTTTTCTGCAAACTTGGTTACAAACAAACTGCTCCACATGCAGAAATGGAAGTCATTTTCCTTTGAAAATTCATTAAGTTATGCATGATTGGGAGAGGTCAGGGAGAAGCTTGCCAGCAGATGCCAGGCAGCTTTATGACTGCACACAAACAATGA